TATGTTCCAGAAGATAAAGCTCAATTACGTGTTCTTCAAGCTTATCATGTCTTTCTAGCAGCAGGACATTTTGGGTACAATAAAACTTTGGAACTAATATCTAGAGATTTTTAGTAGCCACAAATGTGGAAGGATGTAAAAGACTTTGTTCAATCATGCAATGTTTGTTCAAGATCAAAAACTCCTCGTCATCGACCTTACAGACTTCTTTAATCATTACTTATTTTAGAACAACCCTGGTCTTTTGTTTCTATGGATTTCATCACAAATCTTCCAATTTCAAGTGCTTATGACTCTATATTCGTGATAGTATATTATTTTATCAAGATGGATCATTTTGTACCATGTACAAACTCTATCATAGGTGAAGAAATAGCTAAGCTCTTTCTTGACAATATCTATCGCTATCATGGATTATCTAAGGATATTATATCAGATAGGAGAACTCAGTTTGTATTAAGATTTTAGTAAACTCTTTTTAAGATTCTATAAATAGATATAAAACTATCTTTGATATTCCATCTTCAAAATAATGGATAAATAAAGCATGTTAATTAAATTTAGGAGCAATATTTAAGATATACTATCAACTATCAATAAGATGATTGGAAAATTCTTTTGCCATTGGTAGAGTTTGCTTATAATAATATGATATATTCTTCTACAAAAAAAACACCTTTCTTTGTCCATTCTGGTTATCATCCATAACTTGATACTTTTGACTTTTCAAAAGTTGATAATCTTGTGGCAAAAGATTTGACAAATCATTTATCAAAGCTACATGTAACAATAAAGGTGCACTTAAAAGAAGTTCAAAAACAACAAAAGATCAATGCAAATGTCTATCAAAAGGAACAACCACCATTCCACACGGGTGACAAGGTATGGTTACTTTGTCATAATATCAAGACCACTCATCCTTGTGACAAGTTGGATTATCGTAAACTTTGACCATTTTCTATTTCTGTATAAATCAATCTAGTTGCATATCATTTATACTTATCGGATTCAATGAAAATCCATCTAGTATTCCATGTATCTCTTTTTGAACCTTACAAGATAGTGGACATACTAAGAAGAAGAAAAATTCCACCTCTTTTATAAAAATGGATAATAATAAAGAGTTCAAAGTAGAAGAAGTACTAGATTCAAGGTGACTCCAAAATAAATTAGAATATCTTATCTATTGGCACGGATATGATATTAGTGAATACATATGTGAGCCAACAAATAATCTTGCAAATGCAGCAAAGACAGTGGAGGTCTTTCATCAACAACATCCATCAAAATCAAGATGAAAACCTTTCTTATAAAAGAAACAAGATCTAGGCAAGATAATATTCTACTTTTAATCCTAGTTTATAGCTTTTTTGTAGTTGTGTCAATAAAGAGATAGAGAACCAACAACTAGCGGTTCGACTAAAGAGCCTTCGTTTGATAACCTACTAGATGAGATATTATGATTATTACAAACTTCAAGACGATGCAATTAACATGAAGATCCTCAAGAACGATATATTCTTTGTCAAATAGATGGCAAGATACAACATGTTTGGTATCACGACTTGGAATGGACTTCCAATATTTGGTGATTTTACTAGAGGTAGAAACAACTCCTGATGGTGTTTCAAATATTTTATTTGAAAGAAGATAATTGATAAGGCCTCAACAACGATCAAATAATTATGTGGTCTTCTTGCCCTGGTATAGGACACTATCGATGGTTGAGAGGCCTTATCAATTATTTTCAAAGAGAACAATGATCAGAGTATGTAGCAAATATAATTTGCCGCATCTTAGACTTCCTCGATATGTGATCACCGCTCCTTGTAGAACTTGTCCCTTAAAGAGGAGGTAATGTCAGGGACATATATTTATTGTAATTTTTATCCTGATAATATGAATAGGTAGAAGTAGGTAAAAGTAGATTAATTTCATAATATCTTTTAAAGTAGCTTCTTAGAAGCTTCATAGATACTGCTTTGACTTTACATGTGTTTATACTTGATTGGTAGGTTAGAAACTTGGTCAACAAGTTAACCACGTGCCATACATATTGGTAGCTTACAGAACAAGCTGAGTATAAAGTACCCACATAGAAAACTTGTCTTGCAAGTTAAGATACATGTGGTGCAAAGTCAACACATTTTTGGAGGTTTTATAGAACGTCGCCACGTAGCTCCTAAATAGATAATATATATAGAGGCAAGAGTAAAGCCTTCTTCACTCTTGTCAACTCTTTTCTTGCTTATAGTCTAATTTTAAGGATCTCTAGTATTCTTATCTTTTGACAATAGCCATTCTAGTTTCTTTCTTAATATACATATTTAATTATTTCTATTTTATCAACTTTCTTTAAAAAAGGCTCACTTGTTTATTTGTTTTTATCAAGTTCTTGTCCTTGTTAGAAGATACAATTACTTGATGACAATATCAAGACTACTTAACTTTGTGACAAGTTGGACTATCAAAAGCTTGAATATTTTTCTATATGTAACCAAGTCAATTCTATTACTTATCAATTACATCTACCAAAGTCTATGAAGATCCATTCTATATTCCACATGTCTCTTTTTGGGCCATATAAGATAGTGAATATCTAGAAAAGAAGATAAATGCCACTTCCTCCTATAAAAGTGGATATTAATGAAGAGTTTGAATTGGAAGAAGACTTAGATTCAAAGTAATGTAAAAATAGGTTGAAATATCTTATTCATTGGTGCGGATATGATATTAGTAAATACACATAAAAACCAACAAAGAAACTTGTAAATGCACCAAAGTGGATTGAGGCCTTTCATCAATAATATTTCTTTAAAATCAAGATGAAGAATTGCAAGATTCATAAAAGATGATGGCCGCTCTTCATAGAACTCGTTCCTAAAAGAGAGAGTAATGTCACGAACATACATATTTATTCTAATAGTTACTTATATGATTAGGTAGAAGTAGATAAATATAAATTAATTTTATAATATCTTCTATAACAGCTTTAAAGAAGCTTCATAGATGCAATTTTGACTTTACACGTGTTTATACTTGATTGATAGGTTAGAAACTTAGTTAACAAGTTAATCACATGTCACATGTGTTAGTAGCTTGTAGAATAATTTAACTATGTGGCACACATATAGATTACTTGCCTTGCAAGTTGTAGAATAGATATTAGTTCGTTTTTGTAAGATATTGGTAAAATAAACTAGTAGTCCATAGAATAGTCAGTTTATGAGGATAGATGGTTGTTTTAGTTATCAAAAGCGGTTAATTACAAGATTACGATTAGGATATGGAAATCAATAGTAATTATATAGGAGTTGTAGAAGTTTGTTGGAGAGCCGAAGTATGATAGTCATGAGTCGGGGTTAAGCTTGGTGCTTCTTCTTTGTTTTTTTTGTTTTTTTTGTTGTTGAAGAGTAATAGATAGTTTCTGAATAGTGAGAAGTGAGTGTGTGGAATAAATCAGAGATTGATTTATGAGTTATTGATTATATAATTGGAGTACTGAGTGATTGAATTATATGAAAAGTTATTAGAAGATTGATTATGGATGGAAGATTATGATTGTTGTTTATTAAGAGTTGTGTGTGTGTATTTCGACAGAAGAAGTCTGTTATTATAAGAATTCTGTGAATTCAGATTGGTTGGAATAAAGTCTGTTATTCCTAGTGTTGGTTGGAATTTATTGAATTTTGAGTGGTCTTTTGAGAGTGTAGGGTTGCACATTGTGGTTATCCGTTGATGAAGGAGTATTGTTATTGGGAGGAAGCATTGTAGTCTTTCTTAGTATTTTAGTGGTTTGAAATATAGTTAATTTTGTGACCCTAACAAGTGAAACTCATGCGCTTAGTCTTTCCTTGAGTTCAAATTTTCCTATACAGGTTTATTTTGGAAGGAATTATAGAATAAGTAAAACGACAATCACACAAGTCAAGATATGTTTTTAGCAAAGTCAACACATGTTCAAAGTCATATAGAAGATCGCCATCGAATTCTTTGTTAGAAAATATGCATGGAAGCAAAAATGAAGCCTTCTTTATTCTTATCAATGCCTTTCTAGTCCTTAGTCTTGTTGCAAGACCTTTTAGTCTTCTTGTCTTTAGCAATAGCCATTCTAATTCAATATATTATCATCTTTGAGTGATTTTTAGTCTTTTCAAATGATACAAGAGTGTATTGAGGATTTCTTGCTTTGAAATTCATATTTTTGATGCAAATATATGTAATTTAGTGTGGTTAATGGTTTTTCATCCATTGATAATTTTTTTCGTTAATCAACTTTATTCATGTCAATTAGTGTTTGAATATTTAAATAGAAAAAAATCCTTGACTTGACATTCTTGTCAAATCAAGTCTTAAAAGTGATTTTGAGAGTGAAAGAACTTATTGTAAGAATTTGCTTAGCTATGGTATTTTAGCCATTTTAATAAAGCTTTAGGATTTCTCTTATTTCCTCACTTACACTCTAAGATTCTTATTTTGTGGTATGAAAGATACCTTGACTTAGTTTGGTGTAGATTTCTAATCTTTCCTTGAAAATGTGTTGGGTGTACATTTGCATTTGTTTTAAATTACATACTTTATAATTGGTTTGTAGCACTCAATGTATTGTATGTAATGATCCTTGTTTATATAACATGTTGATCATTAAAGAACAATATAAGAATAAAGACAATTTATATACATGCATTTCAAATGATTCTATTATTTTATTATATTATGCAGGCCTCCTACCATATAAACTATCATTTCTGGCAACACTCTAATATATCAAAATAATTTATAATATTTTAAAATACATACAAACTACCATCAAGACTTAGATTGTTATTCTCAGAAGATGTAGAGAAGGACGTGAGAAGTTTCGGCGAAGCCGTAGACCACCGTTGACTGGTCAACCATGCCACGTAGGTTGCGGCAGAAGAACGTTAGGCCACGTCGGACGCGCATAGCAAGTTCCTTCTAGGAAAGTTTGCTAAACCCGTATGCTTATCCTCCTCTTCCTCCTCCGATTCCAAGCCAGTCTTCTCAAATCAGCTCTGCCTAATCGCCCGAGTCGATTGATTGATTGATTGATCGATTGATCGATCCATCGATCCATCGATTTTTAACAGATTCGCGCGGCCGCATCATTGGCACTTGAAGTGTGCTAATCCTCTTGTCGATTGCAGCTGGAATTTCTCGTTTTAGTGATGGATCGCATTTAGGGCTTCCTCTTTTATCGTGTTTTGCGGAGTCTAGGTATTGTGCTTGAGGATTAAGGTTTTTGGGCTGCATCGGGTGTGGATTTTGAAGCTTGACGGGTTTTGTTTCTGCGGCAGTGTTGAGAGTGGTCGTGGTGGTGATTATAGGAATTGAGTCGGTGACTAGGTTACAGGTTTGTGTGAGCAGACAGTCTATAACCATGTGGGGAAGAAGTAGTCAGGACAAGCTTATGGACCAGATTTTTCAGTTGAAGTTTACGTCGAAGAGTCTGGTGCGGGCGGCGAAGAAGTGCGAGAAAGAGGAGAAGGGTGAGAAATTGAAGGTGAAGAAGGCGATCGAGAAGGGGAATATGGATGGTGCCCGGATTTATGCCCAAAACGCCATTAGGAAACACAATGAGCAGCTCAATTACTTACGTCTCTCTTCGCGGCTGGATGCGGTTGTTGCCCGGCTTGGAACGCAAAGCAAGATGCAGACCATATCCAAATCTATGGCCGGAATTGTGAAGTCGCTGGACAGTGCCCTCGCTGTCGGCAACATGGAGAAAATTTCTCAAACAATGGACCAGTTTGAGAAGACTTTCGTGAACATGGAGGTGCAGTCTGAGTTTATTGAAACCGCCATGGCTGGTAGTACCAGCTTGTCGACTCCGGAGGACGAGGTCAATTCTCTTCTACACCAAGTCGCTGACGATTACGGTCTTGAAGTTTCTGTCAATCTTCCACAAGCAGGTGCCACAGCCATGCCTGTGAAGGAGACTGCAACGGTAAATGCTGAAGACGACTTGAGTCGAAGGCTAGCAGAGCTCAAGAACAGGAACTAGCCTGCTGCTGTTATCTCGCTCTCTAGTTGCTCGAGGTAAGGCTTACATGCGAGATATTCTATTGACTTGGCCTGTGTCTGAAGCGCATCTTCTCGCAAAACCCTCTCCATCACAGCCAAATTTCTGCATCCGGTTTTACGTTTCTTTTGATTGAATACAAATACGGTGTGGAGCGTTTGTTTTTGATTAAAAGATGTTGGGAATGGTAGTTATCTGCACGACTCACTGGACTCTGGCTCTTGGAAGTCTCAACAATTTTTTTGTTGACCTTGGAAAGATGCGAAGATAACCGTGGGAGAAGAGGCTACTGAAATCATTATTCAGTTCATGCTTTGTACAGTGTTCGAGATTTGCAAAAAAACTTAGAGGATTATGGTGAACCCCAAAAGTAATCTGACTTATTTTCTTTTCTTTACTTTTCTTTTCTTTTTTTGGGTCATATTTATATTTATCCGTAACGGCTAGCCCTCGTACATTCGATCGTTTATCTTATTCCATGAAGCATAGTGTGACTACAATAATGGCGCGTCAGTGAAATCTTCATCCATGTCAATTAGCTTCGTCGTTGGGTAGTGTGGTTTATATTGAAATGTACAGTAGGTGCAGGCCGAATGTATTAGCTGGCAACACTGTCATTGATGATTTTCGGTGTTCATCATCCTTAACTACGTTCTGCACGAGAGATATCAGGGGATTACCTTCGCATTTTCTCCACCACTAACTTGCCAGTCATGATGTTCATTTTTGAGTAATCAATTCTTATCGATTGTCGATAATACTTGCCCTTCTGCTGCAAGTTGTTGCCACAGACCATGTGGATCAGTAGAATGACAACTAGTTCCGTCCTTGAGTTGCCGAGTCTTAGTGTGCGAATGCCCCTTGCACACTGAAACTCTTTATTAGGTGCAAGGGGCATCTGTAGTCTCTTTTGCATTCAGAGAATGTTGAAGCAGCGGCAGGACAATCCCGTCATAAGATGGGATCTGATGTCGATCATTGGCTAAGAAGACCTGTCTTGTTGCAAATTGACAATGTTGCTTTGGATTGTCGTGGTCCTGGGCGAGTTCTGAACGGAAATGTCATTTTCCCCTCTCAATTTCAGTGCTAAGTTGAAAAACTAGTGAGTCTTCAACAAGATTTCGCCCATCTACTGACTTCTCCGCCTGCATTCTGAAGTCAACCATGTATGCAATTTATGTCTTAACTGCTCAGAGCCAACGATTGAATTTGTCTTACTTAGTTAAGGTTATGTGCTTTAGACGTGTCGGGGGCAGTTGTGTTCTCTGTCCACAGTTCCACCCTTCTTGCACTTGTAACAATTTCTATTTTTAAATGACATTTTGACGAGGCTCCCATGGCTTCTCGTTCCATTTTAAAGCCAGCAAAGCCTTGTCCACGAGAAATCTGAAAGCCAACGGATTCCTCATCAGAATCAGCTAATCAAGGCGAAGCTAGCCACCCTCATTTCATGAAAGTTCGTGGACAAGGAAGCAATCAACTTGTCAGAGCGAGCCACTCCCAAACACCGACACTGGACTGTTCAGCAACCCGGGCATCTACGAATTCGGTTTCTTTGGAGTAACGCAGAGGTCCATCTGCGCAGAAGCTGCGAGCCTGCTCAGCCTTCGGAACAAATCAAACCGTGGAATGCGGGTGAGCATCTACACAACGTTCTATCACAGCAGATTCAGTCACTCAACGATACTTGATGAGCGTAACCTTCTTGGTTAAGAACCCAAGTCACTGGAAACATTGCTGGCGCTGTTCTTTTTCCGGCTCACATGGAGCTTGTGCTGCTATTGCAGCTTCAACTACTGTTCACGCTTTCAGCCACTTGAACATTCCACTAGGCGATGAGCCGGTGAGGGTCCCACTTCATGATTGTCGATGCGAAGTCATCAACTGTGGCTTAAAACCAACGTTTCTAATTCTGTAATTCTACTTGCAGATAAACAAAATGTGAATATCAGATGTACCCAATTGGCAGTGGCGCCGTGGGTTCCATACAAAGAGGCCGAGATCGGCGCAGCACGGGCATCGTTCAGCCACAAGCTTAAGCCACCATTATGAAGCTTTAGTATATTTACTAGTTTGACATGAGGTTTTGGAAATCTGGCATTCTTTTTTTCTTTTCTTTTCTTTTTTCTTACAACCGTGGTTTATCTGATGCATTGATTTGTGTTGAAAAACGTGTTTTTGTTAAAAACAATGGCGTACAATGCCATAAAATAGTAATTTTTTGAAGAATAAACTTCCAACAATGAACTACAAACAAACCTTTTGTCATGTATTAAAATTCAAACGCTTGGTTTTCAATATTATATCATGACTTATAAATTTATTGTCTCAAATCCTACAAGTCTATTGCATAAATTTATTTGAATGGATTTCAAGCATGTTAAATATCATACCATTTATAATATATTATAATTGTAGATTATTTTTTTTTTCTATTTAATTTTTTGTCTATTTTTCTTGAATGACTATTAATAATATTTTATCAATGGCATGAATTATAACAAAATCTTAAAGAAGCAATACATTCTTATGACACTCAAAAAAAAAAAAAAAAAGTAGAGAAATCAAAGATAGATTTAAGAAAAAAACTAAAATAGTTTATTATAAAATATAAAGAGATTAGAGATTCTTAAGTTAAGACAATAATACATGAAAGGCATTGACAAGAGTGAAGAAAGTCTCACTCTTGCCTTCATATGTACTATTTAATCAAAGAGCTACTTGACAATGTTCTATGAGTCATTTAATATATGTCTAATTTTCAAGATAAGTTTTTCATTTGTGCATTATATAGCCAATTTGTAGCAAAAGTGCCTGACATGTTTGACAAGTAACTAATTTGTAAAACTTGTAGTCAATACATACAATGTAGTATTATTTGAAAGTTATTTTGGAAATGCATAAGGCATTTGTTTGTAGAAGGATTTGATCTTACCTTAGTGTTAGATTTACAAATCCAAAAATATAATCATAAGGTATTTAAAAATCTATTTAGTAATCTTAAAAAAATATAAAATAATTAATACTAAAAGCTATTATTTAATACAAAACATTATTACTCAAAATAATTCTAATGTAAAGATCTCACAAAGTCCATATGATATCAAATCCTTCAAAACCAATGTTCATAGAAACCTTATCAAGTTTGTTCTTAAACTCTACACTTTGATTAAAAAAAAAAAATCTCATTTTTTATAATGTGCAATTTGAAGGCTTAACTCTAGTTTTACCATGGCTCATAATTAGCACTCTATAGATATCAATCTTAAATTCATATAAATAATTTTTGTTGATTTCTATTCTTTATTTTTATCTAAAAAAGCATGTGATATTATTTTTGCTAATCTACTTTGTTTTGACTGATTTGTAGCCCTAAAAAGTAAATAGAATCAATTTTTATAAAAAGGTAGTATTAATATTTATCATTTTTATTACATCCTTAACTTTTATTTGTATTTTTAAGATATTTTTTTACTATATTTTAAAATAATTTTTTTTATAATATTATATTTCTTTTTCTTTTTCTTTTTCATTCAATAGTTGTACTACAACACAACAATATGTAGCAAAATTTTTAATCTACCAATCACCTACAAACACTTATAAACTCAAATTCACATCTACAAAGCTTATAAGAAGCTTATCCATAAGATATTATCAAATTTCTTATTTTTGCTTATACCAATTATTTCTTATTCTTTTAATTATTGATACAAATATTCGTATTTGTGACACATTTGGTTATATTCTAGAAGATTGATTTAGGTTTATATTTTAGATTCTTTTTGCAATCCATAATTTTATTTTTAATAATATTGTATCTTATTGTATCAAAATTATTGAAAATCACAAGTCTTATAAAAAATAACTTAATATTTCAAATCTTTTGAATAGAGATAGAATTTCTTATGTGAAAATATTATATTTCAAAATAATATTTTTTAAGGTTTCAAATTGTTAGAACTTGTGGCCAATTTGTGTATTAATGAAGATGTGTAATTCTAAATATATTTTACCTATGGACACTTTTAGAATAAATACATCATTTCTTCTTAAAAGCCTAAGTTATAAAATTGGTAGGTTGGAGAAGTGTCTTTATTAAATCATATTTTTTAAATAGAAATGGCTAAATTTTAATAATATATGAGCTTAACAAGCATTACTTCTTTATATACTTTTGATTTAAATTCTATGTCTTTTTGGTTGAAGTTATGAATAATATTAAGTTCATCACTCCCTTTTAAGTTGCATATATTTCATAAAGATTATTACTTTTGTTAAAAAATATTTTTAAATTTGGGAGTAGAATAAATAATTTCTTTTAAATTATTTTTTACTTAAATATATTGTATAACAAAATTAATTGGAGATGATTTATTTTGTATAAAGAATAAAATAATATTTTAATTAGATAGAAAAAATAAATCTTAGCTTATAATGAAAAATTTCCAACTATTGTAATATGTAAGTTTTTATGTAATAAAAAATTGGAGCATCTTAAAACATTATCTCAAGACAATACTTTTTTTAGTACATATTGTATTAAATGGGAGAAATTTATATGTTTGAAAGCATCTAACATTGTTGAAAGCTCTTCTTATTATTAATAGTTATAGTTATATTTATGTATCATATTATTTAATCATCAAAATTTATAAAATAATAAAATATAAATAAAATAAAATAAAAATATAATTAAAACTATTGTGCCATAAATAAAAAAATAAAAAACTCAAGAATAATTTAGTATGCATTTTGTAACTTGTAAATAATATATACACAAATAAATATATTGATAATAATTATATTAGGTATAAATAAGCTATAAATTTGTATCAAACTTGATGATTTTTTAAGAAAATTTTAAAAAACTTGAACACTTAAAAATTCTACATGTAAATTTTACATTCAATAAAAAAATATTAATAAAATTCAAGAAAAAAACTCTACTATACAAAATAATATATTCTTTCCAATGTTAGTTTCTTAGTGTATGTGTATGTATATATATACATAAACATATATTATTTCTAAAATATCTAAATAAATATTTTTAACTCAGTTGCAATTAAAGAAAAAATCATGAATATACAACTTATATATTATAAGAAAATATGATATTTTTTTTAAATAGGTTTTTGATTTTTTAATAAATAATTTTATCACTAGGTGATAATTCCTTCCAATTGGTATTTTACAACAATATTACCAAATGGTCTTAGAAGTTTATATTGATGACACCATGAATGATATTATAAAAAAAATACTTCACTAATTTAAGACCAATTGCCTCACGCCCTTTCTTTCTTTGCACAACCACCAAAAATCTTTTGATTTGTGAATCTAAAGCATTTGTTGCCGCTTTTCAAAGATATTGCTTTTGTTGAAGATCAGCAACTACTTGCTTAGTTACAACCATATAGAAATTAAGCATAGTATGTTGCTAATAGTCAAAAGGTAGCAAAGAATTAAAAGAAGTTACTATGGTGGAAGCTAGGGTTTGTAGGTGGTGGCATCGGGATAAAAGAAGTTTGTCTCTAGAAAGCAATGGGCTTCTGGTTGCCACTAATTACTCAATCAAGTCTTGAGATAAAAAAGACCAAATTAATATATATATATATATATATATATAATTTTAGGTACTATTATACCAAATATATAAGTCCTAAGTTTCCAAAAATATCCAAAATATGATAAAACATCTAAATCCTTATATGTCCTTATGAGATATTATTTCCAAACTTCAAAAACTCATATCTTTCAATCGGACCATCCAAACATTGTCAAATTCTACATGAAGTATTGATGTACTTCTAACAACTATTACAACGAATTTCAACTACAAATTCGTTGTGGATCTTAAGATATCACCAAAATCCTAATATTAGCTTCAAACCCTAGTTTTTATACACCTACGTGTAAATTTCTTCATATCTCACAAACTAAGCACTCAAATACCACAAAATTTATATATATAGCTTTTTAACACAATAATCTACCTTTTTCAAAAGATTTAAGCTAAAAATTCGTCTAAAAACTCAAGATATGGCTCCAACCATTAGTATGAACAACATCACTTACCTACAGCCTTTGATTTGGATGTGATGACTTCAATACTCTATAAATTCTTTATTCTAATTCCAAATTCATCAAATAAGATATGAAAAGTATAGTTAAAGAAGTGTCCTTTCTAATCCTAATTGCCGATCCTTCTTTGCTCTTTATAAACGTATGTTATGCTCCAAAGAGTGACAATAGGTATGAAATTGACACCTTAACTTTGAGCGCTAATAACTCCTTCATAAAAACTCCAAAATACACAAAATTTGCACCCAATTTGTATCAAAAACTTAAAATTTCTGATTCTATCCTCTAAAGCTCAAATGACTTCAAAAAAGAAACCCTAATACCTAATAAGGCCTCCAGTAGCCTCCTTGAAGTCCATTGGGCATGGCCTTCGATCAATAGGAATGAAGATCCCCATTCCTTGCCTTCATCCAACCATGCCTTGCTTTTATCCTTCCCAATAAGCCTCCTACTAGTTAAGATTTTCTTCTTTAGGCTCTAATCTCCCCTCAAGGCTTCATACTAAATATTTAGGTCCTATAATTTTTTTAAATTCTATAATCAAAATGGATAAAATTTAAAATAAAGTTTCTTATATCTACTCTCTTCAAATTAATCTATTAACCATTCTAACATATACTAAGACTTATGAACATATTATATGTCCTAATTAATTTTTGCATACTATAAGTAATTACAGTATGACAATGGCTAGGTTAAGAAAGAATCTAGAGTTTAGTTAGATGAAGTAGAAATAGATGTAATATCAAAAGGATGGAAGTTACCTCATTGGTTAGCAACCACCACCTGTAAGTAAAGGATGTTGGAAGTAATAGTCATCTTACTCTACACTTCTCTTTGTATGCAAACCTTACTGATGTTAAGTGTTTGTAACTTTTAAACTTCTTTTTTCAATAGGTTATGGATCCACACACACACTTAGTTGAATGTTTTTAAGTTCTCTAAAGTAGTTGTTGATGTAAGGAGTAGATCAAGTTGTTGTTGATATAAGGATTTTGAAGTATCTAACTTTCAAATTCAGATCTTGATTTAGATCTTGATTTGCTCTTACTTGTGATTAAAAACATTTTGGTATTGGTATTTGGTTTTTCACCGTATGAAAAAGTTATAAAATACTTGCATTGTGTTTTTGCTAAGATAGATCCTTGGTGGTCTAACTTTGTAGTTTCAT